ATTAAGCCAATAATAAAAACAGTTAAGCGACCGTGCTAGAACCACGGAATTCGGAAATGCCTAACACCTTCTTCCGGATTAACAGAATTCCTTACTCAGGATTTCTGGTTCGCAGAATAATAAACAGAGTCATATTCTCCTCGATTCAGGGATTAAAATTGGTGACTTGGGACGCCTTAAAATTCCCAGGTGGCGACTCTGAAACAAATAAACAAATCCCGTTTCGACTGTCCTTCAATTGGAGAAAACTCCCCACGTGCCCCGCGGGCGCGGAAAAAGGAGGTGCGACAGTCCTCAACCCCGATCTTCGATTGATAATAATTATGCATATTTGCTCAAGTTATAGCTGGATACTCGATCAAATTTTGCTTCATTTATCGTGATGCTATCGAACTTTGCTCGTTCAACCCCTGTGTGAAAGCTTGAACGGCCCAATCATCTATGACCGGTGGTAACTCCATTCGCTCTATTTAAAATCGGGACACGAACTCCCTCAGTATTTCGTTATCCTTTTGTCTTATCTTGAAAACGTCCGATTTTCTTGTTGAAACTTTTATGGCCCCGACGTGCACCTTCACAAAAGAATCAGCTAACATGGCGAATGAATCGATGGAACTCGGTGGCAAGTTGTGATACCAAATCATTGCTCCCTTTGATAGAGATTCCCCAATCTTTTCAACAAAATAGACTCGATCTCATCGTTTTCTAAGTCATTTCCCTTTATCCTGCACGTGTACATAGTGATATGTTCATTAGGATCGGTGGTCCCGTTGTATTTAGGTATATCTAGCATACAAAACTTCTTTGGAATGGACTTCGGGGCCGCACTTTGTGGAAAAGACTTCTGCACGAACTTTTTTGAATCCAAACCCTTTAAGATCGAGGGTGCCTCCGATATCTGATTAACTCGGGAATTGTAAATTTCCACCTTTTCGTCATTATCTTTGATCTTCTTTTCTCCCGACTCGATTCTTTTAGTGAGCTCCTCGATCATTCTCATAATTATAGGATTAGTCCCTGATCCGTTACCGCTCGTCCTTTCCGGTACTGGCTCGGTATGGCGAGTGACTTCCGGCTAGACCACACTCGGATTTTTATGTTGACTCTAAAGCTGAGAAATAGCGGCCTGCTGAGCCTGTAGCATCTCAAATATTACTTGGAGACTAACTCCCCCGTCTCCTACACCCTGTGTTCCTTGTCCATCAGATCTGCCTTCCCTGCGTACTTTCCTCCGGGATATGCGCCTAAGTACGCGTTCAAAGCAATATGTGAACTAACATCAACTGGATCGACAACCGGCACTTCCCTAGGGTTAATTGGTGGTACACTGGCTCTTAGATCAACTACATTATCATTTTTCCCGTGAAATCCAAGACCATCATCGCCATGTACGGGTGCGTTTTGTGAGTTTGACATGTTTTAACCTGAGAACAAAAATTCTTAACAAGAACAAGTGTGAAAATAACGTATATTATCAGAATCAGTACTGAAACAACCACTATTATCCTTAGACCCACTGTGAGCACCAAACTGTTTACCCTAAAATCCGAGTAACAATTAAACTTGTATTGTGATTTTAAAGATATATGACTTAATCCAATACTAATTAATAAGCAAAGAATCAAAGGTATAAATTAAAAAGTAGAGCAAGTCAAACCAGTATGTAAACAAGTCTCGACCTCGAGCTAAGGCAACTTCGAGGTGGGTTAGTAAGAACAATAAAATAATAAAGTAATTATGATCAACAGTAAGCAAGAAAGTGATGTTTGTATATTTTCTTCTCGATGATTCATCTGTTACAAATAATTGGGATCCCTTTATATAGCAGGGGAATCCTAAATAAGATACACTTTTAATTGTAGTATGGAATCTTATTATACAGCTGTCTAACCGCCTAGTACAAATCCGTTCCGAAATTCACGCCGTGATCTTAGGGCCACAACAGGATCTGTTATGAAACCGTAATGGTATTATCTCGAGGTTGGTCATACTTGGCCTCGGTGTTCATCAAGTACTTCGAACTTTGAGTCTTGTACTCTGCCATCGGGCTCGAGCCCGGTCTATCTCGAACTTGTTCTCGGAGCGACCCCTCGAGCCTACGAAATCGGGCATACCTGATTTCGACCGTATACAATATGACCTCAATTGTATTATCTTTGTGAACTGAAAATATCTTGACGTGTTTGGGGATATGATTTCTGAAATTTAGGGGTCGCTTGGTAGGAGGTATTAGAAAAAGTAATGCAAGCATTAGCTCTATCCATTACTAATACTTTGTTTGGTACATTTTTTAAACATGTGTATAACTAATACTTGTATTAGTTAAACATCATACTTGGTATTATCCTATGTATAAGTAATTCATAGAAAACCATGGCATTAGTAATACCAAGGCTATTAATGCATGTATTAGTATGATTAAAGACAAAATTATTCTTATAGTCCCTTAAAGCTAGAGAATATGAAGGATATTTTTGTAAACAATTATTTTTCTTAAAACTATGCAATACATTATAATTTTAATACACCACACCAAACAGTAAATAAAAAATAATATATGTATAACTAATACTTGCATTACTAATTTATGCATTACTAATTCATGCATTGCTAATACACCTTATTTTGCACTATTCTTGTACCCTACCAAACCACCCCTTACTGTTTCTTCTTTCCATGTTATTCCTTTGTTAAATCTGTCCGAAACATTCCATTCATCTTACCCGTGGTTTGAAAATCTCCCTTGGGATTACAGACATTTCATTGATTTGCATGTACAATGCATTCTTCTGACACTTTTTAACCTGTGATATATAGTGATGTTGATCTAGTGGGGTGAGAGGTTTTGTCACTTCAGACTACGGGATTTAATTGTTTTTGTATTTCAAACAGGGGGTGTTTGTATCTATACCCAATTTTGGAATCATAATTAAAGTTATATTCATTTTGCAAAAGAATTTGTAAGCCTACCCACTTTACGATCAACTTCAGACTTATCGAGTCTAAAGTTAAAAAAAATTAATCTGAAGTGAAATGCACTTAAGGCCAATTAAGTCTAAAGTAAGATGCACCTAAGGCCAAATAGGTCTGAAATGCAATAAATATTTTCATGCACTTAATGTTAGAGAGGTTTGAAGTGAAAAAATTACACTTCAAGTACACTTAAGTCAAATAGGTCTGAAGTGCAACCAATAGTTTCATGCACTTAAGGTTAAAAAGTCTAAAGTGAAAAAATTACACTTCAGATGCACTTAAAGCCAAATAGGTCTGAAGTGCAACCAATAGTTTCATGCACTTATGGCCAAAAAGTTTGAAGTGAAAAAATTGCACTTCAGATGCACTTAAAGCCAAATAGGTCTGAAGTGCAACCAATAGTTTCATGCACTTATGGCCAAAAAGTTTGAAGTGAAAAAATTGCACTTCAGATGCACTTAAAGCCAAATAGGTCTGAAGTGCAACCAATAGTTTCATGCACTTAAGGCCAAAAAGTTTTAAGTAAAAAAATTACACTTCTTAAGGCCAAATAGGTTTGAAGTGCAACCAATGGTTTCATGCACTTAAGGCCAATAAGTTTAAAGTGAAAAAATTGCACTTCAGATGCACTTAAGGCCAATAAGTTTAAAGTGAAAAAATTGCACTTCAGATGCACTTAAGGCCAAATAGATTTGAAGTGCAACCAACGTTTTCATGCACTTAAGGCAAATAGGCCCTGAAGTGCAAATTGCTCAGAAATAGAAATTTGTTCTTCGAATTTTAATAATTCATTATACGATTTAACACCTAACTCTTCTCCGAATGAGCTCAAATTTAAAATATAACATCCAAATATCATCAAGAACAAACCCCAATCATCAATTATCGAAACAACAATAAATCTAACGAACTCATTTTGCAATTAACAAAAAGAAGCCCTAAGCAATAGTAAAAAATAAAGTGTCACAACAGCTCACCACTATAAAATATCATAAACTACCTTAAAATATGTTCACAAACATCATATAAAATCACTGGCACCCGAAGAAGATGAAAAAGAAGAAAAAGCCTAAAATTGTTTAAACTTTGGTACTTGTTAAAAAAAATTAAAAAGTAGATAAAAATTATATGTGGATGATGATCAAGTGTCTCGTACAATTTTTACCATTATAATGTACTAGTTCTTTTGCTACTTTTCTCTTAGGGTGATCCGGTGTTAAGACTATGAAAGAAGCAAAAAAATGTGAGAATCCAAATTCCAAAGCATAGTTATTGATGGATGGATGGGACAGTAGGAATTGATATTTTGGTCTTAAATGACTCCGAGAAAGAAAAAGAGAAATGTGGAAAGTGAAGCTTCCACAAGGGATCAAACACTACTAAATTTGCCGACTTGGGTGCCTGATTTGGCTCTTGTATTGCAAACGTAAAGGATTTAGCCATAGTCATGGGTTTATTATTATTATTATTATCTTGAAGAAAGCACCACTATTGCCACTTACTGCTTTGATGATGATTGTGACTATACTTTGTTCACATTCCCATATTTTTTTTCTTCATTAAAAAAATAAGGGGGACAAACGAGTGAGTCGGATCAAATATATAGCGGATTGAAAACGAATAATGCAAAAATGAATATTATGAATAACAAACTTTTTATCCATTTTGTCACGACATTAATCATCACAAGGTTCATGGATCTAAGTAAAAAAAGTCTATTGAAATATCCTAACTACCAAAACCACCGTAGTTAGACTACCAAATCGGACACGTATTGTTGGTTTATCTTTTTCCTCTTCTTTGTTTGGTCTCCTCTTTCACGTGTTAAGCATAAAAAATAAAAAATAATTAGAGCAGTCGAATGAAAGATAGACTGATGCCAGCAGTAAGACAAGCAACATACGCCACATGTTACAAGGAGAAACCATAGTAGTATAATAATGGAAATTATTAGTATATCCAATTAAAATAACAGAATGGAAGTTAACATTATAATCCAAGCGAATTACAGCCAATGTAATGAAGACATTGAAATACGATACGTGGCTTCATCAACACTCTATCAATAATTTCTCTATTGAAAACACACAAGAGAGAAATAACAAAAAGAAAAAGAAAAACAAATAAAGGATCAACTTAGAAGAAACACACCACCAGAACTATCCAAGAATTAATTAAACAGCAGCTAGATACTCGATTAGCGGAAATGAAGAGACTTGATAATGGCCTAAATTCACATATCCACCTGTCAACAAAAAGTAAAAAAAAAAAGAAGAAAGAATTAAATACAGTTCCTATATTTTATGAATATCGAAATACCGTTTCCTCAAATTGAGGGAATATTCAAGCTTTTGGATAAGTATTAATTAGTTGAATCATCCTCCAAACAAAAAGAAAAAGTTTTGAGAAAAGAATTACCATAGGGAATTAAGGAAGATAATTGAATCACTTGGTTAGGACACAAACAGCATAGACAATACCAGGCAGCCATCCAAATAGAGTCAGCAAAACACAGATCCAGAACTCCACCTATTTTCCCCACACACAAATATACACACAGTTTCAGTAACGCTTACAAGTAACTGCAAAATTCTCAGACTCTATAGGAAATTGATCTGCACCTTTTCTATACAATTTTCCATATATTTTTTTTAATATCGAAACTAGTAACATGCGTCCTATATATACCCATAAAATTACATCTTTAACTTACCTACCCCTTAGGTCTGGCCATAAATCCGGATATCATGTACACTAATATTTATATTTATTAAGAGGAGAAGAAAAGGAGGAGGGTTACCTGGCAGCCAAACTTAAGGAAAACACCAAGGGGAGGCAAGATGATTGCCAAAAGAATGTCTACGCATGTCATTGTGCTGTCTCCCATTTTTTTCTTCTGTTTCTTAACAACTTCTGATAAAATCAAATGCTAATTAAACACCAGATTTAGGAGTGTCACAGGTTTCGAAAATCAGGAGGAAGTGGTTCCCTATATATAGGCTGAGAATTAGGCCTACGTGACTCTCTGTTGGAGGCTAATTTCGTACTTTCACTTAGAGGATTCCTTAATCGCGTTTGCTTCATCGATTACCTTACACATAATGTGGTGTTGGCTTTTTTCTTTTCTTTTTTTTCTTTTTCTTTTTTTGGGTGGGAGGAATTAGAGTGAATCTGATTTGTACAGCTCATCCTCATTTTGGTGGGACCACATGGAACCGATCTGTCATGGTAGGTCCCATCCGTGGAGTGTTCCCACCATCTCCGTGTACAATTATTTCTAACCCGCAACCAGAAATTATTTATATTCAGTAGTCAAAAAGTATATAAAATTAGTATAATTTTTGTATATAACATACAGAATATATATATATAGTTTTTTTTTTTTTGGATAAAATGGCTATACATTTTCATTTTCCCTCCTTATACCGAGTACGTATTCGCTCCAAGTTTATTGATGAGTTCCAAATGAATTGAGAAATTAGGTTTGGTCTAAATTAAGAATGATGAGTTCCAAGTTTATTTCAATATTCATATTAGGAAAAAGGTAAAAGTTGGTGGTGACGACGTAACTGAATAACAATTTAATGACATAAAAAATGGGACTACATCCCCTTAAGATTGCGGGTTTAAAATTTAAATTTGAAACTTCTAATGATTCACTCGTTTGAAGGCCCTTTGGTAGTATTTACTTTGGTGAACTAACATGTTCAAAACTAGAAAATAACTTATCTCTTTCGCTGCCATTTATTCGCTTATTTATATTTGTATCGCATAAACTTTTCGCGTCATCTTTTAATCTGGCAGTATTTTTCCAAATATACCAAAATTCATGTTCACCTGGAAAATTGTCTCCTGGCCAGTCTCTTTCTCATAAACATTTCTGTTATATCAATCACTCTAAATCGTTTCTTCTACTTTGCTTCCCAAAGAAAGGAAGAAAATTATCTAGCTATATTTGACAATATTCAGATCTTAGAAACTAAATCTTTACCTATTCATTTTGAGGAATCTTCTTTCGTAATATAGATTAACACTAAACTACTCTTCCGGTATGGAAAAATACCTAGATCTTCAGGACGTCGAAATGCATTTTATTCTATTGGAAAATAAATGATGATGAAATATATATTCTTTATTTTCGAATGATGAAATACGTACATACTTGCTAGCTAAGAGAAATTTTGTATCTCTCTCCCTATCTCTTGGTGAAGTGTTGAGTGTATTGCTTGAAAATAAAAAGTTCTCCACATGGTCAACTAGCTGTAAGAACCAAATTGTCGAAAGTTTGAAAGCAAAGCCTAATGGAAAAGCAACTCATTCGGATCAGTATAGAAAAAGGCTGATGGAAAGAAGAAAAGCTAGAATAAAGATGATTTTTGTTTGTTTTACCTTTTATTTTTCTTCTGTGTTTGTTTTTCCATGACGCTTTCAATATAGCTTCCTTCATAAGATAGTTTTTATTAGACATTTTTCATGAAATGTTTGGTGTGTAAAAGATTCTAAGTGAAACTAAAGGGTGTAAAAGGAATTCGGCTACAATCTCATAAACTAAACTGTGTATTAAGCCTAATTCAAAGCTAGAATCATATCATATACGACTATGAACACAAATTCAAATTTCACTAGAACTGTGAACATGAGATTTATTCAGCATGTAACTCAACTTTTCCATTAGATTAACGCATGAAACATTATAAAGTATCCAATTGTGTAGGGTTAAATAAGTTTGTAATCTTATCTTCTTTTTTCGTCTAACATCAAGTTGAATTAGGAGGAATAGAAGGTCATGATGAGATCGTTTGAACTCAAACCCCGTTGTGTACATACAACAATTGATACGTTCAAAATACCTAACTCTGATTTCCTTTTTGTCTTTTCCACCATAAGTAGGATTTTTCTCGACATCTTCCTCATAATCGAATATTTATTTTCAATTAAAATCTAATCGCGTGCATGTGTTTCATTTTTTTGGTCATACCGTGTGATAATATTGCCCTCTTTCTCCGTTTCCGTTTCGGCACATTATTGAATGATAGCGATTTTCAAACGGTGTCAAATTTTTCTTGTCCAGAAACGTAAATAAATATACAAAAGATTATGACAAAGAAAGAAAAGGAGGTGAATAGGGGTGTCAATGGTTCGGTTCGGCCGGCTATTTTATAAAATTTACACCGTATTAATTTTTCGGTTATTTTATTATGTATAATCAAAATTTAACTTTTCGTAGCCGTCCCAATCATGTCGGTTTCTCTTCGATAAAAGTTACTAGTAGAAGTAGAATGCAATAACCTACGTCCTTTTATAGGACTTCCCAAAACTCTTTAGATATTTTTGTTGTTTAAAGGGTGAGGAATAAAGAGAACATGAAAGATGACCAGAGTATATATCCATCAACTATTCTATAGAAGTGTAAAAGAAACTAAGCAAAGACGAAAGAAAATATAAATCACACGAATGGAAAGATATTAACCAAGCTGGAACTCAAGAATAAAATCTATTGAAGATTAAATATTCAAAAAGATAAATCTAAATATACGAAAGAAAATGTATTCAATACATTATAGTTTGCTACTCATAATCAGTAGAATATCTTATGTCTTGCTAGTGAATATGCTGAAAATAATTTAATTTCAATAGGAGTAGCATAATAGGTTTGAGAATTATGATTTTGAATTTAATTACTTGTTAGCTTGTAACCGTTTCCATAATTCGAAGGTCCAGGAAAAAATTTAATGCTTTATTATTTTTAAACTTAATATATAAATATATTTTTCACATATAATTTATTCGGTTTATTTTTATAAAATAAAAAATCTACCCTTATTATCGGTATGATTATAGATTTATATTAAAATCTACTACTTTATTAAAAAAAACCTAAAAATTAATTTTTAATCGATTTTTAAATATTCATTGACACTCCAAAAATGAGAGCGTGGTATAAAAGAAAAGGAAAGAATGGTATTGATATTAGTTGGGGGCACGTGGCAGGTTATTTAGTTAACGCCTGTGGATATAGTAGCCGTCCACCCCACGTGTGGGAGAATCTCATTCCCTCTGGATCATCCCACGTGTGCCAGATAATGCACCCATGTTTGCTTCCTCTGTGCCAGATAATTTCCAGAATCTTCTTCTTAATTTGCTAAATAGAATGTTAGGTTCCCAAAAACCCGGTCTAGCTGGATCCTGATTTCTCCTTTTTAGCTTCGCCCATGTCTTATCTTAAATCACAAAAGTTCAACATCATTTTCCTTAATGAATGGAATAAAAAGGAGCAGCTCAAGAAGATTGGGGCTAAAGCCAAATTATAACAAGAGCTCTCAAAAATCAAATTTTTTAAAAAAGATTATCATTCTAGCTTTTGTAGATGCAAAAGTCATTAAAGATTCCTTTTCCGTTAATAAGCAATATAGAACTTTAAAAAAGAATCAACATTAATAGCAATTTTGTTTCCATAATCTACGGATCTCAATATGCACATTCAAAGTTGCTAATTATTTTTCTCTATATTTTTAGGGAAAAGAAAAATAAATCAAACCTCTTAATGGTCTATTGGCAACATCAATATACATACATTTTGATGCTAAACTTTTGCTAACTGAACCAGGTGCAATCAGTATATTATACCAAATAGTCATACCCAATTAAAACTCAAAAATTTCAAGATCATATGTTAAACAAATAGCTTTATTTTTAATTTTTTGATCCTAACAAGCTTCTACTATTTTCAATAAAATATCATGTATTTGTGGAGTTTGAAATCTTATGCTTTAATACTTTTGATAAGATGTTCCGACATGTTTGAGACAATGATTTAAGACTTAGGTTAGATATACTATTTTGTAACATATTTCATCGCTTATTAGAAGAAGAAAAATAGTAGTGGATATATATGTTGTGCTATTCTAAAAATTTATATAGCTCTTGTACAAGAATTAACCATGTCGGATAATACCAATTTAAATTATAACAGTTTTTATTGTTGTATATATGCATATGTTATTTATATAGTGGGCCCGCAAAATTTTTGGGGCCTAAAGCACTTGCTTTAGCTGCTTTAGGCTTCAGCGCCCCTGGGACTAAAGATGTCAGGGGCAAATACAGCTTAGTAAATGTGTGTATTCACATGAACTCAGTAGATATTACACATACTTTATATGTGTATTAAAAATCCCTCAAATATTCATAAATATTTGACTGTGAATCCAATTACTTATATATATTTATTTGAGGTCGTTGTATGAATCCATAAACTTCAGATCCTGAATCCGCTAAAGTGCCTTGGGACTTTGCGAATGGACGAGAAAGCCCGGGCCTTTAATTTTGCATTTACAAAGGAGGCTTATCTCCTTGGGATTAACTTGAACAAACTGTCAAATGTACATAATACTAACATACTATGAGATATAGGCCAGGGTGTGGTGTCTGAATACAACATGGCAATGTGGGTCTAGCTAGGTTTTATCCGTTGGCTACGGCGTAACAATGGCAGTGTCCTTCACTTCCACCATGTGTAACGTACGTAACATTATGGGACTATAACTCACAAACATCCAAAACAAATAGTCAACTTTAACTTATATATTCATGGGAGTTGCAGCTAATTTAGTAGATTCAGATGAATGTTTCTTGCCTTGTAAGATGATCTTTAGGTGCTGTCTCGTCCTTAAATGATCCAATGAAACTCACCGACTCAAACATCCAAAAGAACAAATTGAAGTCAACTCTAGCTTCATAGTGATGGAATATATACCACAGCGGAAGCAATAACAGAATCTTATTCACGTGTAATCTAAACAATTAGCATGTATGGAGATTTTAGGATTACCTCTTGAAGCGTAAACACAACAAATCTAGGTCGTTCTCCAGTTCCTCAGTTGAAAACACACTAGCAGATTTCCACAGTCTTCTACTGTGTTACCCAAACAATAACCGAAAAAAAAGAATTTTGGGTGGGCAAAATTCTAGTA